CCTTGGCTCCAGAGACTCATCCCCCCTCTCTGCCCCCTCCTGGCAGGGAGTTGCAGAGGGCCAGGAGGTCTCCCCTCAGCCTCCTCTTCTCCAGACTGAACCCCCCCCAGTTCCCTCAGCCGCTCCCCAGAAGACCTGTGCTCCAGACCCTGCCCCAGCTCCGTTGCCCAAGTCTGCCCAGAGAATATTGTCTCTCCCAGAGCAGGAGTCTCACTTCCTATTACTAAGTTCCACCAACAAAGCACCTGGGCTGTGCTGCTCTCTCTTCTCTTCTTTCCAACACCGTCTTTGCTCTGTGGGTAACTGGACCAGCAACAGAGCCTGTGCATCAGCACCACAAGCTGTGTTCAGTGCCAGGCCAGACTGGGCAGCCCAGCCTAGGCTTTGCCCTCACAGGGCAGTTACCCCTCCTGCCTGCTCAGAGCTGATGATGAAGTTTCCAGCTCAGATCACAACATTTAACCTCTCCAATGGACTCAGAGAGCTCATGGAGGTGGCAATTATCCCCACAGTAATGAATTTCTCCTGAAATATCCTGCCCATTCTGTAAAAAAGGGGGCCAAAGTGAGCCAAAGACTTGCCAGGGAGAATGACACTGAAAGCCCTACCCAGGACACTGTAGACAGAGCTCTGCTGGCTGAAGCCTCCAAGCCGGTCCAGCACACTCTGCATGCGCTGCCGCAGTGCACTGGTCTCCAAGAAGGCTCTGCACAGAAGTACAGGAGGAGGTCAGGGCTGCCAAAACTCAGCCCATGAGACGGAGCTGGTACTCACGCTGCTGCACGCACTTAGACTGCTGCAGGCAGTAAAGCCGGAATGTGACGCTCCCGGTTGTCTCTGTGCGGAAACCGAAGCGGCTCAGACGCTCTCCCTGAGAAGATGGCACAAGTCAGAGCAACTGCAGGCTGCAACCTGCTGCAGCAGACTGGCCCCGGTGAAAACAAGCACTGTGCTCCTGTGGGCATAGGCTCTGCCTGCCCCGCTGCACCCTGACAGCGAGGTCAGAACCAGGGGCAGGCAGCTCCCGGCTGCACTGAGGGCACGACCTGAACACTGGCAAGCTGGTAGTGCAGCACTGGAGGAAGGCTTCAAAAACTGCATCAGGACTTGCTCCCACACAAAGCTGCTGCTAAGATCAACTGGCTCCCTACACCAAAAGCACCTCTGTAGCTTTCAGAAGCACAGGAAATTTCTGCCTGCCTCACACCCATCGGCTTCCTGCTTTGGGAGAGTGTTCCAGGTGCAGTACAGCCCATATTCCTTATGAAAACACAGGGAGAAGTCTACAGCCAGTAACAAATGCTGATCTGACAGACACTTTCTGGACCAGGCCAGCACAGGCAGGGGTAAGTCAAGGCTTTGGTCGATGCTCCCCACTTCTCCAAGCTGCATGCACCTTAGAAGGCACAGAGATCTGCCTCAGCACTCGCCCTCTGTTCAAGACCACAAAGACTCGCAGAGGAGACATGTCTTTAGTCAGAGGGACAGGACCAGCAGCTCATCTTTGTTCAAATCTGGTCCAGGCTGTCCACAGATACCTGAAGCTAGGAGCATAATCTCCCAGCAAGAGCAATGCCCTGCAGCTGAGCCCACCTTGAAGGTCGACGGTATCCTGGCGTAGGTTATGTCCTCCAGCTCAGGAGATCCACCAATGAAAAATCTCCTCAGCTCAGCGACTGTCCCCAGCTCCACGGGACGCCAGGTAGGGGTGGTGAGCATGTGGAGACCTGACCCAGGACAACAGGTCAGCTTAGCACCTACGACCAACAATCTACTCAGGGTCACAGAGGACAGCGTGGCAGATGGATCCCTGATGACCCAAACCACAGGAGGCTGGAAATGGAAACGCTGCACGCTCTCTCTGTAACACCTTCCCAAGGAGTTGGCCCCATATGGGCACAGAGCCAGTGTCCAAACACCCCAGAGCCCACGAGGAGCACCTCCTCACTACACCTGGTTCTCAGAACCGTTGAGACCCTCAGATGCCACGTGGGACAGAGAGGGCTGCTGCCATAGCAAAGATGGATGTGCAGCATGACCCCACAGCTTTATCACACAAGATTTTTGTTGACAGAACCACCAAAGGAGCAAGGACAGCAACACGATGTGTCTCTGCAGCAAGGCAGGATGGTGCAGGATGCATCAAATCCTCCTTTGCTGCCCCAGACAGCAGACTATCCCCTTCACTACCCAAAGGCAAAGCCTCCCCAGGACCAGCTGGACCCATTCCCAATAGAATCACTCATTCTCCCAGACAGTTAACACAGTGCCCCAAGTATGTTTTACCTGGAGATGCTGGCAGCACCAAAGAACCATACCCTTCAACGCGATACCTCTGCCAGAAATCCAGGGACAGGACCTCAAAGTAGAGAACAGGCCACTGAGGGAGACTGTCTGCAAGAAAGGGGAGATCACAGCTTTGGGAGGGAGACTATCACAGAGGAAAAAAAAAAAGCTAAATGCCCAACTCCACCAGTAGGAAGCCCTTTCTGTATCTTCTACGATGACTAATCTAGATGTACGGGTGACTATTTTCCCCTGTAAAAGCTGAAACTTCAGATTTGAGGATGACAACAGAATTATTGATGTTAAAAATCTGGGAAAATTCTTTGTTTTGAGGGCAAGTTCAAACTGGTTCCTCAAGCATCTCTGAGCAGACAAGACAATCTTTTGTGAATGATCTGATGCCAATCAGGGGAACCTTTCTATCTCTGACCTTTCCCACCATTATTAGGGGATTATTAACTTGGATTTCTCCTACAAGTCTCCAAGGATTTATTTTTTCCACATTGAAACAAACTCATCATGTTTGTTCTAGGCTGAAAATTCATTAGTGTTGGTTGAATACTGAAATCCAAAGTGTACGCTGGATTCAAGTGGCAAGGCATGCCACAAAGCTGTCCCTAGCAACTGCAATCCAAAGAGCAACGGGGTTGGTGAGGAAGCAGCAGTAGCATAGGGAAGCAGCAGAGAAGCCCAGTTTAAAATAGAGCAGAAAGTTTCAGAGTGACATAAACTATACAAAAATTATACAGGTCACTGAGTGTGTCTACAGATGTAAGACTCAGAACAGTTTTAGCTGTGTGCACAGAAAAGCTGCCCATTTCCTCTGCTGCAGAGTCCTAGGCATGGGCACACAGACCAACATGCCAGGCATTTGGAGACAGACAAGCTAAGATCCAAGTAGTTTTGCAACTGGATGAGGCTGACCACAGCCCAGCAGCAGGGCAACACCAACGAATCCATACAAGTGCTAATGTCCTGCTGGGCAGGGTGAGCACAGTGTGTGTCCAGAGGCTGTGTGGTGACAGCATGAACATTTGCTGAATGAGCAACACTTCCCCCGGTTTAAATCTGTCCTTTCACCTTGGTGAGGGGCCAACAGCATGCCAGACAGCGTGATGCCTACACTGCAATCAGAGGATTTCAGCTTCACATTTCAGAGCAACAAGGAAACACACCTTCTGATTCATCTCCTTGGGTGAAAAACATATCCAAAGTGAAGGGGTAGCAGAAGTGTGCCACCTTATCCTAGAAAAGAAAAGGGTAGAGATCAAATTCCCAGACAAAAGAATTCATCACTAGCATTGCAGGGGGCACAGAGAGAAGGGAGAGAGAACTAATGGTGGAAAAGAAGTAATGATGCCCAAACAAGATCAATTCATCACACCAACAAACACCCGACTGCATGATGGACTGCCATACACTCCCAAGTGCCACGCTGATGGAACAGACTGTTAAAAATAATGAAAAATGGGAAAGAGTAACACACCTCAAGTGTCAATTCAGTCAGATGCATAACTACTACAGCACTGCAACCTTTACAGGGGCCAAGCAAAATACCTCAAGCAGTAGTATTACTGAAATATTGTATAATGATTTTTGTAATATGTAAACTAACTCACATAAAAGACATTAAAAAGTAGATAAAATTCAGTTTTTGTAAGAGAGGAGCTGGAGACAGCAATGAAACCAACTTCCCAGATAGGAGGAGGGGTTCATTTTGAGAAACCCAGTTAGAGGCTGTGCATTCCTGCCCCAGGCAAGCCAGAAGAATGCTTCATTAACTCTGAGCATCTGAGAACACAAAAATCAAAGTTTCAAAGGCTATCGATCAGCCAGAAGGAAGAAAAAAGTGAGGTTCCAGAAACTGCTCTGAAGCAGTTTTATTTGGGACACAGTGTCACCCTGTAAAATGGCAAACTAGCATGAGGAGAATCCCAAACATGCTCTGCCCTGAGAGGAGCTCTCAAGTCAGGAGCTTTGCTGAATGCATCTGTAGCTTGTCACACACGTTCCACTTCAGAGAATGCCTGTTCAAACTGCTCTGCAGGTCTGGAAGTGTCCTCACCCAGCCCATGGTCTTGGTGGCACAGGTCTGTGTCACTCCTGATAGCTGCTGGAACACGGGGCTCGACCACTCTGGGAGAAGAGGAGAATGTGAGCATGCTGATGAGAGGGACGACTCAAAAACTAGCGCAGCTTCGAGGAGAACAGCAGTCCTGGGTGACTGGAATAACAGGTGACATCACCCACAACGAAATCCCCTCTGTGTGTCCCACCCCATCTTGTTCCAGGCAATAGCTGCTCCCCAGAATGCCCTGAACTGTCGATGAAAAGCACCAGCTCCATCTTAAGATAAAAGCAGAGCCTTATACCTCTTCAGCCAGACATCAGGGTATGAGCAGAGAGAGGAGGCAAAGCCATTGCTTCAGGGGAATTAAACATGCAGGACGATGTGCATGTTAGTGCTGGGAACCTTGTTTATCAGTCCAAATGTAACACATTACTGCCAGCACAAAACAGGAGAACATGATGGTAAGCACTGAAAACAAACAAGGTAACTGCTGAGAGGGAGGAGACAGGAAGGCATGGGGAATGAACTTTGGGTAGGCTGCTGGACACCACGCCGCTGGCTGAGAAGCCATTGGATATCTGTGTCCCAGGCTGATTTGTCAGATTTGAGAGGGGAAGATGCTACTTTCTCCCAGACATGAGTTCAAACAACTGAGTTCTGCAACTTCAGCTCTGAAGACCACTGACTAGATCCCAGCCCTGACATTAACTTTTACTGACTTTCAGCAGAGCTGATCTGGCAGAGCAGCCAAAGCGTGCTTCACTCCTTAAAGTGCTGTGATATGGCTGGAAACGTGAATACTTACGGCTGGGCAGCTCCACGAAGAAATGAACGTAGAGATTGTCATACTCATAGCCTTGAGCTGAAACTGAGAAGAGAGAATGAACTCCAGCTGCTCGCTTTCACACAAACTCTTCCAGTACTCACTGCAGACTTTTGGGAGAGCCAGCACCAATAACCTCAGGGAGAACCAGTTCCTGCTGGAAGCCGGGAAAAGCCAGAGTCTCCAAAGGAACAGGGTATCACCCTCGGAGAAGATTCCTTCTCTAGACTGGCCCTGTCCCCATAGCACTAACCAGATTAGGGAAGTCACACATTTAATCGCTTTCTTTGCTATAATCTCTATTAACTTCCCAGTCTGCTCTTCTTTTTTCAGATCTGTATGTCTCCATAGAACAGCTGCAGTATTTGTAACCCCCAATCTGTAAATTCCACTCAAGTGGTCAATGTAAATTCCATTTGAGGGAGAGAACCACCTCCTCTGGTCTGGCCTGTGATCCAGGAATCCTTGGACCCCTCTTAGACTAGATTTGTCCCTGCAGTTACTCTTTATAATAAGGACTCACCTATTTCTCCGTTCACAAAAAGCCGCAGTGTTCCAGGGAGAGTCTGTAGGAACAAGCAGATAAACAAGATAAGGAGCTCAATGACCACTGGTGGAACCTCATACAATCCCCTCCCAACAGGGTCTCACACGAGTACTTCACAGACACTCGTACATGAATGATTCACTCTGCTGGCCAGGTAGAACTCACAACTTCTCCTATCCCTTTCCAGAATTGAACAGTCCCTCTGGAGAGAGGCTCTCAAGAAAGACCAAATTCCTAGACTGCAGGAGTTTACTATTCTGTAAATCAGTCTCTTACAGACTTCAGGACGGCTATAAAATGTAGCAAGAAGTCACTTGCAGAAATCATAGCCCTGCTTCTCCTGTAGTGTTCCTGCCCTTGTCCAAGGTAGGGGGGGACGGGGGCAAGCATAGGATGAGACACTCTGTCAAAATACAGAAAGTATAACTTTCACACTTTGGCAAAGGAGATTTGAGAAAAAAAGATTGCAGTCTGGGTAATTCAGTGAGAAGGGAAACTGTGCATGAGTTTGGGGGTGGGAGGGGCTGTTTACTTGAACAATTGACACATAGATGTGTTTGACATTCAAGTTGCTAACAGCAACCACTACCCCAAAAGATATAAAACCTCCTTTCTTCTTAAAGTGTTATAGCCAAAGGCCTCAGACAATGCATGTGAGACTGCAGCGTTCAGCACACTCTGCAGATGGTCCCACAGATGCAGGATGGATCTCTGCAGGCCCCATACCCACTGCAACTGGTCCCTTTTGACCCAATTTTCTGTTGGAAGCCACAGGGTAAAACCTGCCAACGCATCCCCAGAATGAAACACTTTGGAAACTGTGGTGCAAACAGCAGCCACACTAATCAGGCCAACAGCCTCCACAGGCCGTGGGGCTCCAGGTCCCTGCTGAGTGCCACAGTACTCACCATTTCAAATTCTGAGCCTACAAGACCACTGAGGTATTCCTTGTGCCGAGCATACAGCTGAGAACACAGAACAAGTGGATGAGTCTTTCTGATTATATGTGCTTTTACTTACTGCAAAAATTGTAATGGATGTAACTGAAAACCAATTTAAATTGTTGACAGGCTTAGCATGCAGGGGGTTTTTAATTGTTATAGCAGCTATAGGGAATATAAGAATCCAATACAACAAAGGTGCGTAACTGCTAACGCTGCATGGAACTTCTGCTTCAGAGAAGACCTCAAAGGCCAATCAAAGGGAAAAAGAAGCTCCCAAGAATCAGCATATCTTAAATCACATGTTTATAACACAGACATAAACTATTGCAATGCAATCAACAGAGAGGAGATCAGTGCAGAGAAATCATTTCCTTACTGACCACAAAAACAGTAAGGAAACGTACAAATGAAAAACTAAAACATTAAGTACCTTTATAAACTGCCACAGCTAAAAAGGCAATTCAGAAAGATCAAGACATAAAATGAGATCCAAATACCCTGGGCCATTAAGGGTAGCAAGAAATCATTCTGTGAGTATACAGGCAGCAAGAGGAAGACCAAGGGAAAGGTTTGCCTGCTGCTCAGGAGGGGAGTTTTAGTGACATTGGCAAGTGATACTAGAAAGGCACAAATTTAGGTGTTTTCTTGTATCAGTTCTCACTACGTGGACCGCTGCAGCAGGAGGCCAGCACAGCTAATACTGGACAGGGCCTCTGCCGAGAGTGAGGAAGGAAGCTGTCAGGGCGTATTTGTTGGTGTTCTCAAATTGCTGGGCATGACAAGACACTGCCAGTGACACTCATTTTGTCAGCTTTACAGGTCTACAGCACTAACAGTTACATCTACGCGAGGGTCTGAGCTCCCTCTGTCAGATGAGACCTAGTCAATACAACCAGTGAGGCCAGTCCTTACGTCTGTGAACACACGCTGCTCGCGTTCCTCCTCCTCTGGCTGCACCTGGACAGACGCATTCTCAATGGTGTATTTCCACACCTCTCGCTTCTCTCCATCCTGCTCGATCCTGCAGAGCCCCAGAACACACGGGCAAAACTCCTCCATTATGTGGAGGCACAGGCAGCAACAGCATCAGCTGTGCCACCCTGACAGAGGAGGCCCCCCTGCCAGGCCTGCGCAGTGACATGAGGGCACTACGGCCCCTCCTCACTCCCAAGCGTCTGCCAGCACCAGCCCCTCAAAAAGGGAGACTTTTGTCCCACATACATGTGACCTGTATCCCTCAGGCCTGGCACCAAAGCTTCACACATCACACACACAGCGACACCAAGCACCAGTACACAATAATCTTGTCTTAGAAATCTCCGGAATAAAGCTAAAAAATATCCCCCAGTTTAAGTGCTGATTCACGGCCTGAAGGGATCAGGGGTATTGAAGGGACCAGGAAACAGCCATTCCAGCCCTGTATCAGTCCCACGAGAGGTGTCAGCCCCGTCCCACTCACCGGTAGGCTCCTCTGGCACCCGTGAAATCAGGCTTCACTGCAATCACCCCATTGCTGTCCACCTTGACTGTGCAAAGAACGTGCTCATACTCCCTGTGACCCAGCCTAATGGAAGACGTCAAGAAACACAGTTTAATTAGAGAACATGGGCACTCTCTTGCTCTGGAACAGCAGAGCTAGTAAAGGCACATGGGGGTAAAGAAGGAACAAACACACCCATACTTTCCTAAATTAGTCTGAGAAGCCTTTTGGAGGGATACACTTAGTTACCTCCCAATTGAGAAGAGAGGCAGAAAAAATTAGCAGCCCAAGTTACTGAGCTCCTGGAATTCTCTCCTCTTAACTAATGAAAGAAACAGAATATTTGACTAAGGAGGGAAGATGGGTTTCCTTCAGGGAAATTAAAAATCACTTCAGGATTTTACTTACCTCCCATACGGTCCCAAGTCCCCCATGATGTACATGGTCTGGACAGGAGTGTTAATCACATGACTGTTCTTTTTAAATTCTTCTGAGGGTTCCCAGGTGATGATTTTCGACTTCAGAGAGCTTGCTTCTCTGTCAACAACAGAACAGCACAAGCCACAGATCACATCAGCAGCCTGGCACAGGCAGCACCGAACCCCCCACAATAAGAAGTCAAACTGCCGGATTCCAAGTGTGACACAGCTCAAGCCATCAACTTCCACAGACCAGAATGCTCTGCAGTTGGGGCACCAGCCCCAGGAAACCTGCATGAGCAAGCTCTGAGCCCCAGTTTTCACTCACACTGGCCTACGGTCTTGTCTCCTCCTCCTCACATTGGCCATCCTCTCTGCCAGATACGATGGCATCTCATGGTCTGAGTCAGTTACTTTCTGGCAGTGCTGGAAGAGAGACACAGATCGGAACCAGCTTAATTCTAGCCAGACATCTTTCCCAAACACAGCTCCACTCTTGGAGGAGAGAACAGATATGTACATACCCACATGCAAGGACAAACTGCTAAAAGGCTGTAGGTTTCATTTGCTGTTCTTGTGGCAAAGCACGGCTAAACTCCACCAGGAGCTACCTACAGAGCAATGCTACAAGGCCAAGTACCTCCAAGCTGCCCCCGACCATCGTTCTGAAACAGGGAAATCTCATCTCTGGTGTGGGGCACCAGGTGAAGCTGCTCTGCAGACACAGTACATTGCCTGCACACAGGAGACCCGGCTTGCTTCTGCAGGCCAGGAACCCACACAGGTTCCCTCTGCGATCGGCCTGGGGGTGCTGACAAGCACTGCTGTACAGATTATGTGTAACTACGAGCTGGTACCTCCTCTAGGTTGGTGAATCGGTCATGATCAGTGTAGGTGAAGATGCGATTGTTCTTCCGACCTCCGGTCTTCTCCAGTTTCAGGATCTCCTCACGGTACTGCCGGTCCAGCGGAGTCTGGCAGGCCGACTCATTTTGGTACAGATCCACCTCAAACTGAGAGCACCACAGGTGAAGCACAAAAGCTGCCTCTCACCAGCACTGTCGGAGCCACAAACACTTTTCGGCTGAGATTTCCAAAGCCACCGCAGAGAGAGACAAGAGCCTCTGGGAATGCCCCCAAACAGCCCCAGCTCCAGAGCGGCTCTGCCATGGCTCAGGTGTGCGGCGCTGGCACCCGCCGACGGACGCCCTCCTGGCGGGGCCCGGGCACAGCGGCTCACCAGGAGACCCCCTGGCCGGGGCCGCGGGGCGGCTCAGCGCGGAGAACTCCCCCAGCCCCCTCCCGGCC